AAGGGAAAGGAACCATAAACCTGTCCTGCTCAGGGGCACCCCGGGCAGTCTAATCTTGAACCTGTGCTTTGCACATCTTTTCGCAGTTGACTTGGTTCTGGACATGGGCTGGCAGCGTGACCTATCACAGCTTGAGATTTTTTCCTTTTTCTTTTTTGAGACAGGGTTTCTCTGCGTAGCCCTGCCTGTCCTGCAACTTGCACTGTAGACCAGACTAGCCTTGAACTCACAGAGATCCCCCTGCTTCTGCCTTCTGAATGCTGGGATCAAAGATGTGCGCCACCACATCTGGCCACATCGAAAGCTCTCAATGAACCAATTTGGAGCCCAAGAGCTCTTTGGAGGTGGGGTGGGGAGTATTGCTGTTCCCTTAGAAGTCATCCTTGACGGCCGCGGAACATTTTGAAAATGCGTGCAGCAAATGGAAATGCAAATATTTTCACTAGCTCCTCTAGGGTTGCACCATGGTGACATATAATTTTATTCTAAAACTGTCTTTTAGAAATAGTTCTGTGGACTTTGACTGTGTTTCAAAATTTCTAAAACTTTGTGGGCTGGATTATCTCGTTAAGCCTGGATTGGATTGTCTCAAGTGTCTTATCATCCTGGGTCACTGTGACAGGTGATTCATACATGCACCAAAACACATCAAAAGTCATCCTAATGACCAGATTATTTTGCTAGGAGCCTCTCACGGAGCCTGGAGCCTCAATGTTCTGAGTCCTGACTTTAATTCCCTCCTACTGTTCAGTTTTTGTCTTCCTGGAGACAGCTGTTGTTATGTGGTGGCTCAGACTGGCCCTGCCCATTGGGGATGACAAAGTGAAGCCTTTACGGCACAGGCCTGACAGTGCTGTTCTCCAGAGTCACTCTCTGGGTCAGAATGTGAGCATTTAGAATGAGGATGGATGAGGGCACAGGCCATGCACTCAGGCAGCTCACTTTTCTCGCCTCCTGTGTGTTCCAGGTTTGGCACTATTAAGGCCTCTCCCCCCCAAAGTGCTACTGGGCCCAGAGTCTACAGGGTCCCGCTTTTTCAGGCACAGGTCGGGTGCACTGGCTTTGTGTCTTTGGACACTAGTTCATTCTGAGGGCTTAGCAGTATTGTTTGATTTTAGTCCCCTAAGGCCCACACTTCTCTGGGAAAGTCCTGGAATACACTATAAAGCCAATATTGTAAAACCTCCCAGGGTTTCTTTCCTGGGTGGAGAACAGAGGGCTAAACCATCACAACGCCTGAGGGGCTCAGGGAGGGAGGAGAGAAAAGGGAAAGAGGAACAGGGAGGAAGAAAAGAGGAGCGGTGGCCAAAGGGCCTTTATAACTTTTCCCACGGGGAACCCGGTCCCTCAGGGCACATTGCTACCTACCCTGGCTAGACCAGTGTGTTTCAGCTCCTGACCTTAGACGGCTCTTTGGGAGGCTTAAGCATACATTTGTGACTCTGCGTATGTGCCCACCAGCCCCTCAGATCCTCGGGGCCAGGCCATTTTGGCTCACCATGGTTATCTCTGGTGTCTGTAGCACTTTGTCTTTTACTGAACGAAGAGTTACTACCTGGTGTTCCCTGGAGAACGGCAGGGGAAGGGTGGAGCGAAGGATATGGAGTCAGGAAGAGGAAGTGGAACCGGCTATGAAACTTTGACATAGGACTCTGGTTTCAGGAACTTGTCTGAGGCAAGATGGGGTAGGACAGAGACCTCGGCTCGAGGACCATTCATATGGTGCAGGCTTTGTTTTTAAACCTGGCGTCCGTCATTTACTGTGCAGTCCCCTCCATACATGCATATGTACATACATTTTTTTGTTTGTTTTTTGAGACAAGGTTTTTCTGTGTAGCCATGGCTGTCCTGGAACTTACTTTGTAGACCAGGCTGGCCTCGAACTCAGAGAGATCCATCTGCCAGAGCGCTAGGATTAAAGGTGTGCGCCACCATGCCTGCCCATCTGTACCCTCTTGAGTTTATAGACCTGATAGACATTTCCAAGCTTTCTTTGAAGATGAGCAGAGACGTGTGAGCTTTTCTTCTTCCTCCCCATGGCTAGAGCTGGCTGTGAGCTGGCTGCGAGCGGACTTTGGCTGCTTCCATCAGGCTTACAAATAGGGATGGCAGAGCCCCAGGATGAATATGAACCGTGCCTGTCTCCATCTTAGCAACGTACATTTTCACTGGGCCTGCTGAGGTGGGAGCTGTGTTTCCATGTGGGACTAGTTCCAGCAGCTGAGCCAGTACTTTGATGCTGGTCCCGTGTCTCAGGACAGCACTTTCTCCGTCTGCGGCCCCGTTTCTACCCTCCTCCTCTTTTTGTTTGGTGTGTGTGTGTGTGTGTTGTATGCACAGATGTGTGGAGGCCAGAGGACCTTGGGTGTCCTGCTCTATCACTCTCTGCCTTTTAGGCTGTCTCCTTGGCGGCCAGCAAGCCCGAGAGGTCCTGCTGTGTCTGCTCCGCACAGCTCTGGGTTACAGGTGCACTCATGACTGTGCTCACCTTTTGTGTAGGTGTTGGGGCTCCGAGAGCACGTTCTTATATTTGTGCAGCAAGTGTGTTCACACCGAGTTGTCCCCTCAGCCCAGGTGGCTCTCACTTGCTAAACCAGGAGCAGTTCAGGCTGTCTCAGGTTTGCTATTTCCACCACTGCTTTCTCACTCCTTGGTGTTAGCTAGGTGTCTGGACCTGGAGTCCAGACAGCTCTGAGACAGATCCCACCTTGTCCCTCACTGTGTGTCTTAGCTACTTTTCTATCCCTGTGACAAGACACCATGACCAAGGCAACTTACAGAAGATGGCGTTTAGCAAAGGCTTGCGGCTTCAGAGGGTGAGTCTGTGACTATCATGGTAGGGGCATGGGAGCAGGCAGACAGGCATGACGCCGGAAGCAGAGGCTGAGGGCTCGTATGATCCACAGGCAGGCGGCAGAGACTAACTGGGAATGGCTCTTGAAACTTCAAAGCCTCCCGCCAGGGACACATCTTTTCAACAAGGTCACACCTCCTAATCCCTCCCAAAGAGCGCCATCAACTGTGGCATACGCATTCAAATATATGAGCCTATTTCTTTTGAAGATTTATTTACTTTTATTTTATGTGTATAGGTGCCTTGCCTGTGTGTTATGTGCCCACAGAGGCCAGAAGAGGTGTCAGATCTCCTGGAAATGGAGTTACAGATGGTTGGGAGCCGCCACGTGGGTGCTGGGAATTGAACGCGGGTCCTCTGGAAAAGCAAGCAGTCAAGGCTCTTAACCTCTGAGCCATCTTTCCAACCTAGGCCTTTCTTATTTAAATCATCACATTGTCTGACTGTTGTTTTTCTATCTGTGTCACAGTTGGTGAGAGAGACAGTGAGTGGATGTGTAAGAGCAAGCACCAATCAGGTCCCTGTCCAGTGATGAAGTTGTGTATTTATGTATGTGGGCATTATATATATATATATTTTTTCCCTTTTCCCCCTCACACACGCGTATGTATACATACATATGTATATATGTATGTATTCAGGATTTTTTTTCATTAGCAACTGATGAGACCTAACAAAATGAGCTTAAGAAAAAGAGGAATTTACTAGCTCACTAAACTGAAAGCCCAGGTTCAGGCCAGCTCCATGCATAGCATTAGCCATATTTGTGTTGGAACTGTTTTCTAGGTTTGGTCTATACAGTAAATGAGATGCCTAGCCTTAGGCCTTAGGTTTGCAGCTCTATCAGGATGCCTCTCTCTAGAGGAGCATGGGAAGGATATCTCCGGTCCTGACGGAGGCATGACTCCTCGTCCAGCCATGTTCCTGGCTGTCGTGAGGCTTGGATCTCATTGTGTGGGCTTGAGTTACATGCACCCCCTTGGCCAAGTCCATTCCTCTTCATCTATTTGGAGTGGAGGTGAGAAAGGGGATTCTAAGAACATCTCCACTCTGTTTTTTCTTAGAAATAACACCAGTCTTTTCTAGTATGCAGAAGGCTGAGCAGTTTCCTGGCAGCGAGGACTGATAAGTATATCCTCCCATATATAATCTTCCTTAGCTTTCAAGAGACTTTACAGTAGTTCCCTCTAAAAAGCCATCTCCAATCCCCATGGGCTGCACCCACACAAAGGCCCACTTTTCTGTTACAATTCCCTGTACACTTGCCTCCCAGGTGGTTGGGGCTTGCCTCACTTCTTGCTCTCTCTCCTGACCCTCTGTCAGGAAACATCCATTGAGCAAATGAGAGCTTCAAGAAATATCTGGAAAGTGTCTCAGAATAAGGGGTTTTCTGCAGCCTCAATTGTTCTCATGACATGAAGGCTCTGTTTAGTCTGATCAGGCTTTGAAAAGTCTCCAATTAGTCCTGAAATAAAACATGAGCAGATACCACCAGTTCAGCCCACACTGTATTGTCAGTGTCAGGGAGGGACGGCCAGACATCCTGCAAGGAACTGGTGATGAAGAAGGCAAAACTGCTCCAGCAGCAAACGATAAAGCCAGTGCTGAATCAAGTGGTTCTCAGGCCTGGGGAGGTGAGGGCACAGGCGACTGAGCCATTCTAGTCCAGGAAAGCGCTGCAGGCCCCATCCTGAGGGCCTGTGAGGGCTGAAGCTGGAGTCTGAAGCAAGTTCCTTCCTCCCTGGAGGGCCTGGCTTCAGACTGCAGCTTGCTGACTTCAAGGAAGCCCTCTGAGCTGGCTTGCACACATTCCTGCATGCTGGTGGCGATGGACATCTATCTCTCACACAGGGCTAGTCTTCTGACATGAAGGCCTTCTAGGTCAGCTTTATGAATCTTGGTGTTATAAGCCTGATCTTGAGAGGTGCACCTTTTTTCCTCACAGTAAAATTCATTTCCTCATGAGGCTCATGGTCAGACTCTTCATTCAGGCTACAAATGTACCCAGAGAAAACCCTACATCTCTTGCTAAAGCCATCATCACAATACTAAAGTGAACAAACAAGCAGGAACAAACAACTATTCAATAGTTTTATTTTAGATATTAGTAATAATTGTAACAGAACTGAAATTTTAAAATGTGCTGACTAGGTTTTCTATACATTATATTTACAAAACAAGTCTGTTTTTTCGTTCTAAGAGCAACCGCCCTTAGGAGAAGGGCGAAGAAAAAAGGAGAAAGAGAAGAAAAAAGCCCCGCCATGGGCTCTGGGGCTTACATGGCATTTTCAGGCCATGAATCCCCTGGCAGAGAAAAGATTGGATGCAGCGAGTGCTGTCCCCACAACTTCTGTTTTCACTTGGAGCATTTCCGAATAGCAAGTGCAGAATGAGGACTGGGCATAAGAAAACCCAGGTGGCCACCTCAATCCTGGATTGTGCTTCGCTGGAGGAAGCCTCCCTAGAGAGGACAAGTCAGCCTCCTCTACAGGGTCACTGGAATGGAAGACAAAGGTCTGAGTGAAGGCTAGCCTAAACCTTACTCTCTGTAATGTATGGAGCTTGACGGTCCAGCCTGGTGAACGAGTTTCAAAACTCAATTCTTCCCACTCTAGGAACCTGCCCTTGGGGTGAGGTGACACGGAAGGGAAAGTCAGTCATACCACAGCTTCAGCCTTTGAGTATGAAAATAATTACAACAGGATCATTGCAGAACAGCACAGTGGTTCTTTCCCCTCTACATTTGAGAAAAACTAATATTTGGTATTCTGAAACTTATGTATGCTGTAAAGCTGTTACAAACTATATAACAAAACACCCGAACCAAATGTTTTCTCATGGGGATATACAATCTGACGTACCCAGTGCATTAGTTCCTCAGACCCGAGAGCCTATCATCTGCACCATGGTGTCTCAGTATACATTTAGTTCAGGGCATTTTGACAAGGGCACTCACCTCTTGCAAGCCCTAGGAAAAAACTACTAAAATACTAAAAGACAAAAACAAACATCAAAAGATCATGATTCAAGGATTTCAAAACCTAGCGTCACAGGCAAAGCCTCATTCTCACGGAAGACAAAGCAATCTCCCTTTTCCACCTCCAACAGCTCGTCAAGAGAGGCCACCACGACGTCATGGTCCTGTAGCATTTCCGGGTAGCGGGCCACAGCTCGCTCGATCCTGGCAGAGCGCCGCACAGGAGTGATCAGCTTCATGTCTTGTGCTTCTGGCAAACCGCATATTCTGAAAGAGACCAAAGGATGTATTCACACCTTCACAGCTACAGAAACATGCTATTTTTATTCTATTTATTATTCATAATAAAGCATAACCGGCCCTTCAGAGTAAGCTGGACAAGAGACAAGTCTGGAGTAGTTCTCAACCTGCAATGGCTTTTCCACGATGCACAGGAAGTCCTGGATGGTGCTAGCATAAGGATGCTATGAACAAAGGGTGAAATGGTTCTTATGTGAGGTCAACTACTTTACAGTTGCTATGTGTTCAGCTCATAAATGTTTACAGGTCGTGAGGAAATCGGGCTCAACACCAAGCTTGACTGCACTAATGACTTCTAAGAGTCATTTTCATGCTGACTGTAAATTATTCAACGTCTCTTATGATGCTGGACCAAACCATGTCTTGAAACTGCAACAACTGTGCATCTTCCTTGCAAACCTTCCAATGCGTTCAGGAATCTTTCCATGAACGACTAACCTGAAATTCACAAAACCAGCGGCTGCATTCGCTTATGAGAGACCAGCAGGTGGGCCAGCTTGCTCTCGAAGCTCTTAAAATAGTAATTCTGGTGCCAATGTCAGGTGAGCTTTGGACCGAATGGCTGCTTCCATGCACCCATGAGCCAGTAGCAGTGGGGCAATGATGGGTAAGGGGTCAGTCTAGCTGTGCCTTCCAGGGAGAGGAGGTCAAGGACGGCCTTTCAGGAGCACCAACAGAGAAGAAGAGTTTGCTAAACTTACTTTTTGGAAACAACATTGGTACTGTCCTACTGCCTCAAAAAGACCGTAGTTCTGCCTTCAACATACAACTAACAGAAGCAAAGAGCAAGCAGAAGGCCCCAAGTGGTCTGACTGTGGCCTGCTCTGCTGCCCTTGCTGTTCTCAGGGCTGCCACTGCCCCGTCTCCTCCACACCAACTTGGGAGCTGGAACTCTCCAGCTCTTGTTGTAAAATGTTTAAACTCTAGGTTGCCATTCTATGATGTGGCTAGGCCCTGCAAATTGAGACAGAGACCCATCAGCTTATTAAAAAAGCTTCAGCACTGGGTAGGTATGATTAAACTAATTTTCTAAGCTAGTCTGGCTACTACCCAGCTGCATTTCCCAAGTAACTGGTCAATAAGTCATCCTGTCCAGGCTGGATCTGTTTCATCAGTCCACGTCCTCTTTCTCCATCTTTTTTCTTCTCCCTCTCTCCAGCTTCTGCTGGCCTCATGGTCCATATCTCAGACCCTAGCCTGGGAACTGAAGCTCCGCCTACCTCTACTCTGCCCAGCAACTGGCTGTTAGCAACTTTATTTAACACATCAAAGACTATTGGGGAATCAAGTTTACACATCATTTGGTGAAAATGTACTCATCTGGACTGCAACCAGATCTTGAAGGCCAGTATTTAGCACTTAAATACACAGCAGCACCAGACCAAGCCCCGACAAGCTCCTTCTGTGCCAGGCTGGCAGGACAAATGAGAGTGGAGAGGTGGGACTGGATGCAGGAGGGGTGTGGATTCATGCTAACACCTGCCTGACTGCAGCACTGACTTCACTGCAGTCATGACTTAGGGTGGGAGGAGGGGCTTGTCAAGCTCTAACCTCTACTTACCTCAGCTCCTTCCTAATGACAGACAGGATATCTTTCCTGATTGAAGCTGGATCACAGATCTCCTTTCAGCACCGATCCTGTGTCTTTTTCAGTCTCACTAAAGCTTTGAGGCTAATTACTAACCTACACTTTTCACCACACCCTGGGCCCTTGGATCTGAAGCAGAGGTATCTATAAATTACTGCTTCTCTGCAAGTGTGAAAACAAAAACAAACCAAAAAACAAAAAATGAGAACTCGGCTAGAATTCAGTCTGCTTACCTGGGGACTGGGGCGATCTGTAATTTGATACCAGTGTTATCCCACTCTGTTGTGGGCTTCTGAGGTGCTGCAACCTGTTCCCTTTCGGTTAGACCAGGACTCAGCTGCCCAGATTCCTCCTCCTTGGCCAGCTCTTCCACAGCTGTGGCATTAGGTTCAGCAGCTAAGGAGTCAGAGGTGACTGCTGTTCACACAGGGACAGGAAGGGAAGTAAGAATAAGTAACTTAACAGTGAAACTACAAATCAATAAAACAAGAAGCAATATATATAGTGACTTTCCAGTGATCCTCATGGACTCTAGATAGTCAATAAAGAAGTATGACTCCAACTGGCATTTATGTTTTTTTTTCCCCTCGCTATATTTTTTTTTAAAAAAGTATTTTTTTATTCTTTGAAATGTTCATACATTTATAAAATGTATATTGATCAATCCATCCACTGTTACTCCCCTCTCATTCCTCCTGGTGCCCCCCTTTCCTGCCAAGCTCCTTTTAACATCAGGCCACCCCACTAGGCATCCCTGCAGACACCCTCTGAGCATTTTTGCCAATTGAAGATGGATCTGTGATCCCCTTATAGCACTGATCACATTCTGATCCTATTTGCTCTCAGGAGAGTTCTGAGAGGCTAGTCACTCTCCTTCCACCCTCTCACCATACCGTAGACCAATTTTCTTGACATTATTAGAATTAATTTACTCAGTCTCTTAATCCCCTCATATCCTAGGGGTATTAGGTTGTGAATAAAAAATGTCATAGTAACATTTTTTATGACAGCTCAAAAACAAACATTAAAGAAAGTAAATAAGACAGAGATGGGCAGACACTGAGTCTAGAGGCTGAGACCCTACGGGAGGTCAATAAGGCCAACAATACAAAGGCATGAGTTCCCATTTCTTCCTTTACACTATAAATACATGTGGCAAGCATCTGAGCCCATCAAATATTATTCTCTGTTCCTCTAAGTACTAGCTACTTTGTCTGTAGCAGTTAGTCTATATGATGTTATGGTCCCTAGTTAAATCTCCTCCTCTTCCTCCTCTTTTCCTCTCTCCCCATTTTTTTTTTTTTTTTAAAAAGTCTTACTTTGTAGACCAGGCTGGTCTTGAATTAAATGTAATCCTCAGCCAGGATTACAAGAATAAGCTACCATGGCCACCTTAAACCTATTCTTAAAGAAAAAATATTTGATGTCCAGGATAATAAGAGCCTATTTTTTTTAACTTTTTTTTACTAATTACACTTTATTCACTTTGTATCCCCCCTGTAGTTCCCTCCCTCCTCCCCTCCCAAACCCTCCCTTCCTCCTCCTTCTCCACGTATGCCCCTCCCCAAGTCCACTGGTAGGGGAGGTCTTCTTTTCCTTCCTTCTGATCCTAGTCTGTTAGGTCTCATCAGGAGTGGCTGCATTGTCTTCTTCTGTGGCCTGGTAAGGCTGCTGCCCCCTCAGGGGGAGGTGATCAAAGAGCAGGCCAATCAGTTCATGTCAGAGATAGTCCCTGTTCCCATTACTATGGAACCCCCTAGGAGACTAACTGTCATGGGCTACATCTGTGCAGGGGTTCTGGGTTATCTCCATGCATGCTTCTTGGTTGGAGTATCAGTCTCAGGGAAGACCCCTGTGCTCAGATTTTTTGGTTCTGTTGCTCTCCTTGTGGAGCTCCTGTCCTCTCCAGATCTTACAATTTCCCACTTCTTTCATAAGATTCCCTGCACTCTGCCCAAAGGTTGGCCATAGTCTCAGCATAAGAGCCTATTTTTATCTTTTAAAGATACAGCACATTTTCCCTTTCCACTCACATAAACAGTATGTTGACCATTTACTAAGTGTCACTGAGTTTGTACAGTTACTCCCATAGACACACTCTGAGTAGTAACAGTGACAGCTAAGGGGGTTTAGATAGGTCTGGCCCCTGTAGACTCATGTGCTTGAATGCTTGGCCATAGGGAGTGACGCTATTAGGAGGTGTGGCCTTGCTGGAGGAAGCATGTCACTTCGGAGGTGGGCTTTGAGGTCATATATGCTCAAGTCACACCCAGTGGGGCAGGTTCCTTCTGCTGCCCTCATATCGAGATGTAGTACTTCTCCAGCACCATGTCTGCCTGCATGCTGCCATGCTTCTTACCATGCCAATAATGGACTAAACCTCTGAAACTGTAAGCCAGCCCCAATTAAGTGTTTTCCTTTATAAAGAGTTGTGGTGGTCATGGTATCTCTTTACAGTAACAAAACCCAACTAATGACATTTACGATGATTAATACATAACTTGAACCATGGCATCTCTTTTTTTGTCTTTCTTTTTGATAAACTGCCATTTTGTTTTCCCATGGAGGATTCCAGGCAAGCAGGACACACTGCCCAGGCTGCTGAACACACATAACCTTTGCTCAGTGTTGGGAATATACTTACTTGTAATTATAGAAGCAAATCAGTGGATGATTATAGCTAAAAATGATAGGCCATAAAGACCAAGAGATGGGAGGTGATTCAGGGGACTCATTTCTCACATCAACTACATCTTCCTCAATGGTTTTTACTTGTATATCTCAAGAGAGGGAATTAAACGCAATGTCAACCATACCTTCTGTGTTTCTGTTTGGATCTTGCAAAATGTTCAGCACTTCCCACAGTTCTTGTATTGGCTGGAGGCAACAAAATAAACAATTGGTATTAAAAGCATTCACAGAAACACTGAGCTAAGGACTTTTGGTTAGCATCAAATAAACTTTCTACAAAAAAAAAAAATGTTTTCTTTTTAAGTCCCATATGCAGTGATAAACACACTTAAAATGATTCAGCTTTAAAGATTCATGAGAGAAAAAAAGAATAGAAAATGTTGACTAAACACAGGCATACCCAATTTTATTGAAGAGATGTGTTCAGAGTTGTTATAATAAATTTCTGTAAATCAAATTCTCTTTTCCTATTAATTTATATCATATCATTAAAGATGTATTCCTAATAAACATTCTGCCTCAAAGACATAAAGCTGGCTATATAGATAGAAAATGTATCATGTACCGGTGTTACCAATTTAATTCTTGTTTTCATGATAAAAGTTGTGTACTGTATTTCAGAAAGATTGAACCATTGGTTAAACTCGAGGAAAATTTTCACCCACAGTCCCATCATGCAGTCTTTTTTAGCCTTTTCTATGTCTTTCCCTGGCCATTTCTTTCTTTCCTTTATTTAGTTAATGTATCTAAAGACCAAGAAAAAAAAATCACCCAAGCAAAGAAAAACAAAGAGCTCCATTGTGTAGAAAAGCACATAAACCACATCACAGAGCCAGATGCTGTCTTACTGTGGGAACATTAGATTTGGAATTTTTTTTCCTAACTTGGTACTCTGTATCAAATCACACACACACACAATTGGCCAAGCATGGTGACACACATCTTTAATCCTGGCACTCTGGAGGTAAAGGCAGGCAGATCTTCCAGGTTAGCCTGATCTAGATAGTGAGACCATACATTTGTCTCAACAAAGCAAAACAAAATACCCCACTACAAAAAAAAAACAAAAACAAAAACAAAACTGGCAAACAAAACCCAAACCAAAGATGCAAGCCAACCAAACAAGTTACGCTGAAAGCGTCTGTAGTGGGGAATACACACACATACTGTAATGACTATGAATTATAAAATACTTGCATCAAGTATATTTTATTATTAAAACTTTAAAGACAAGGTATTACTCAGTAGTGTAAACTAAGCTAAGTCAGGCTATGTAGAGCAAGCTAGTCTCAAATTCATTGCAATTCTACTGCCTCAGCCTTCCAAGTGTCGGGATAACGGGGTAAGGGCAGGATAGGAAGCATATTTTGCATTTGCATAGGTTTCTGTTCAAGATGGTAGACAGAATACACATTTATTTCTAATCTCTCTTGAAATTCTACTGAAATGAAAAAATAAAGGATTAAAAAGAGTCACAGGAGAAAATGAATAGCAACAAGGTTTTAGAAGCTGGAATGCTGGAAGGAAAGCCAACTGGTCCCTGGGAGAGCTGAATCTTGGGCTGGGAGTGTGGCTAGGAAAACCCTGATGCATACCACAGAGTTTCCAAACTCCAGAACAGGAGGTGAGGCCTCTGGAGCATTTACCGAAGGGTCAGACCTCCAATTCTAACCTAGATTTCCAACCCCATGCAGCCTGGCGACTGCCCTCCCCCCTTCACCTAACAGAAAACTGGGACATATTCTCCACTTTCCTCAGGGATATCATGCAAGACTTGGGTGGGTGTCTACCTGAAAGCAGGGTACACCCGAGGCTTCAGGCTGAGGAGGCTCCCAGCTCTCTTCTCCCCAATGCTGGGGCACAGTTTCTAGCTCACAGGAAGGAGCCTAGCAGACCTCCCCTAATACTCTGACTAGTTACAGAGGAAAGAGCTGACGATCCTGACACTGAGGGTTCTCTAGCCCAGCAGGGCAGCCATATCCCTCTATGAGGAAGCCCATAGCATATGGCCGGAGCCTTCTTTTGCTTGTTTTTGATGTGTGGATACATGTATACACATTCAGTGTGTATGTGACTGTGTGCACATGTGCGCATATATAGATATGGAGGCTAGAGGTCATCCTTTGTTATTCCTCAAGAGCCACCCACCTTCTTTTCTGTAACAGCATCTTTCTCTAGGACCTGGGAGCCACAACTAGGCTTGGCTAGCTGGTCAGAAAGCTCCAGGGATCCACCTGTCTGCCTTACCAGTGCTGGGCATGTAAGTGTGTCACCATGACTGGCTACTTTATATATGTGCTGGGGCTCAAACTCAGATTTTTTTTTTTTTTTTTTTTTTTTTTTTTTTTTTTTTTTTTTTTGGTTTTTGTTTGTTTGTTTTGAGACAGGGTTTTTCTGTGTAGTCCTGGCTGTCCTGGACTTGCTTTGGAGATCAGGCTGGCCTGGAACTTACAGAGATCCGCCTGCCTCTGCCTCCTGAGTGCTGGGATTACAGGTGTGCACCACTGCCCCCAGTTCAAACTCAGATTTTTATGTTTTTCAGCAAGCACTTTACTGACTGAGCACCTCCCCCAGCCTCCAGAGCCTTTTATACATTTTTCAAATCAATGTGTGTGTGTGTGTGTGTGTGTGTCCCAATTTCACCAGCATCTGGGTAAATCCTTCAATGAATAATGGAGACTGAAACAACAGGCAGAGCTGAGGAAAAGCACTGGAGAAGGAACAGGCAAGTCAGGAGACAAGTATGCAGTGACTGGATGGTGGAGAACAGCCGGAAGGGCAGCTGCTGAAGAGAGATGCTAAGAGCCTAGACTAGTCGCTAAGAAAAATAAACCAACAGATTATCCAAAGTCTTGACATGATTTAGAAAATTAAAGAACATGAAAATTAGTATGTAATAAATACTCAGAAAACTAAGCATAGGCAAAATAAAGTGCTAATTCTAGGAAAAGGAGAAGATGTGTTTGAAATCATAGTACATACTCCATTGCTCAGTACAGCCACGTATTTCTTACACATGAATAACTGTGAGGATGCCAGAGTGACCAGAATTTTCATACGGTGCTAACGGAAACATGGAGGATGGCAAAGGTCCACAAGAATAGGCAGGGCTGTGTGCATGTGTGTGTGAGAGCTGGGGACATGGACACATCTGTGGAAAAGAAGGTTAAGGCCATGTCTTCATCTGCAAGTCCACAAGTTCTGTCTGAAAGTGAAAAATCTAAAATAGCCACGTAAGTGTGTTTTGAAACCACGGAGGTAGAAACGGAATCAGTTTGCTCTGGGGAGCAGAGAACATGAGGAGGGTAGGTGAGGGAAGACATCACTGAGTGAGAACAGACAGACTGTGCACATGTGTGCAGTTACAGACGTGAGGAGCTGAGGACAGGGTCAGGGAGGCAATGACATTTAACCACCACATTGTGATGCTGGACTGCACCTCTCCATTGTGACTTCCCAAACTGCTTATTTCCACAATTAGTGTTAAGTGAGGCACAAGTACTTGACCAAAAAAAAAAAAAAAAAAAATTCTACTGGTATAAATTTAACTCTATTTTCTAAGAAGTAATTTAATTGATGCATTGATAAAGAGTACCTTCTAGGCTGGAGAGATGGCTCAGAGGTTAAGAGCACTGGCTGCTCTTCCAAAGGTCCTGAGTTCAATTCCCAGCAACCACATGGCGGCTCACAACCATCTATGCTGTGATCTGGTGCCCTCTTTCTGGCTTACAGGCACACATGCAGGCAGAGTACAATATACTGTATAAATAATAAATAAATAAATCTAAAAAAAAAGAGTACCTTCTATAGCTGGGTAGTAGTGGTGCACGCCTTTAATCCTAGCACTTGGGAGGCAGAGGCAGGTGGATCTCCGTGAGCTTGAGGGCAGTCTGGTCTACAGAGCCAAGTTTCAGGATAGCCAGGGCTACATAGTGAGACCCTGTCTCAAAAGCCAAAAAGAAAAACCAAACCAACCAACCAACCAAACAAAAACCCCCAAACCAACAAAACAAAACAACCATCAAACAAACAAACAAACAAAAGAAAGCTAAGACTACATTTTACTTCACATTCGGTAATTGCCTCATTAATTGAGTAAGTTTTTGCTACAGTGTACTGACTGCACAAAACAATGGGCTTCTCTGTGACACAGCCACATGTGCATACAATGCGCATTGATCTGATTTAGCCCAGTATTCCTTCTTCTCCCCATGAATGGAAGCTTGACAGTCATATAGAACCACATTATTGCAAGCCCCAAAGAAAGCGCATGAAAGGCGCCCATCCAAGACATATACTCACTGCTGCCCCATTTTTCACGGCCTCTTCATACAGTCCAACGGCATCAAATGCGCCTTTACTTGCCAGCAGCTTTGCTTTACACACCCAGAACTTGGCAAACTTTTCAGCCTTAGGAATGCTGGACAATATGGTAAATATTTCATTAGGAAGTACACCCTGGGAAAAGAAATACCAGATATAATTTTTGCCATTTCACTGTTAACACTCATATCTTTGAAGGTATAAGCATTAATCTTTCTGAAGTTAAAATTTCAATTTTGCTGAGGTATAGTACATATATAACAAACATATAAACATCCCCATTTTAATTGTACATTTCAATAAAAATTTTTAACATTAATCTTTAAATTTTAAGAGTTATACAAGACAAAACAGACAAAAAAACATTTACCACAGAATAAGGTAAAGAATATGTTCTATATTTTTGTGGGATGAAAGACTCAAACAGAATTAAGACCTAGTGTAATAAATACTGCTTACATATTAAAAATATTCAAAAAACCACATATTCATAGTAATATGGACATTAAGTCACGGTTATTTCCCACGTGACTAAGTGCAGCATGCATGAAGAGCAGCAGAAGTATGAAAATGTCAAGGTATGTATGTGGAGGTATGCTGGGCATTTAGGCAAGTAGATATATAACAGGGTGAATTCCACACAAAGGGACTTAGAAATGGCTTCTGATGTAGGCCCAGGTCAGAACTGTGGCATGGACTCAGAAGTCCAGGCTCTGCTATACTCACAAACTCCTCTGGAGACATGGAGGCATAAGTGTACACTCACAACTGAGAAACACCAATGGTGAAGAAGAGCAACATGACAGAAAAGGTCTCTACAACTCAACAAAGAATGAAGACCAGCATAAAAGGGGGCAAAGGAGACAGTATCAGCAGAGTGGCAAGGGAACACGGCTACCATAGAGCCCAGGCAGTTATAAGGAATTTTCCCAGAGCCCAGTGAAACACAACAGAACGAGCAATGCAAAATGAAAATTCAGAGTTCTCACGGGCATACCTCCTGCCTACTAATTTCAATATCCATATAAAAGAATTTCCTGATGTTTGAGAGCAAAGTTGAACACACAACCAAATGAGCCATACAAAAAAAGTTTAAGGACTAGACAGATTAACAATTGTTCACACTGAAGGTTCTTGGAGAGTTAACTGGTATATATGTATGTAGAGTTAGTTAACTAGTATATACATATATATGTATGCATGTATGTATATTTAGAAAACAAAGGATAAAAATATAACTTAAGGCCAGGCAGTGGTGGCACACACCTTTATACCCAGTATTTGGGAGGCAGAAGCAAGTGGATCTTTGTGAGTTCAAGGCCAGCCTGGTCTACAGAGCAAGTTCCAGGACAGCCAGCAATACATAGAGAAACCCTGCCTTGAAAAAAAACAAACAAACAACCAAAATTATTAAATAACTTAAAAGGATCTAGACAAGAGAAAATAAGGGATTACTTATAAGGAATGATAGTCAAACAGACATGACTCAATAAATCAAAAATTCTAGACACAAGGAAAAAAACTAAAGCAGGAGCTTTAAAATTTTTAGAGAAAATAACTTGTAGTTAAAAATTCTCCTAAAACTATGACTAGAGCATGAAGACAAGATAATGGTGCTTTTCCAAGCATAAGCAAACCTGCTTGAATTTATATCTAGCATGTTATTTTGTTTCATCAATTTATAAGTTCCTTTATGAAACATGGACAAGACAGTAGATACAGAAATGAAAGAACATGAATACAGCAGAATCCTGTAGTGAAATTACAAAGTCAAGTGTCAGGGCTAAGTTCAGATGTGTGAGCAACCGCTGACTGTGGAGGGTGAGATCTGTTTACACGCTGCTTAAAGCAGTGTTTCTGTCTATATACATCCACGATACATCCCTAATATAAACCAACCCAGGGATTTAAAACTAAAGAGATGGAAAAAGATCTCACAGATGAACAAACAAACAAAAAAGAAAAAAGAAAAAAGGAAAGAAAGAAAGAAAGAGAAGGAAGAGGTTTGGCAATATTAATATCAAAGAAATCAAAGCAAGTCATGAATTTATGTAACACTTAGAAATCTGGTCAGTAAAAGTGGACAAACATAAGGAAAAACTCTCATTAAGGAGTCCTTCAAGAGCAATTCTGACATCATTCTTTCAGAAAGGAGCACATTGGGCATTCTGTTTTTATGATCTGACCCTGGCTGATGAATATTAGTTATATATGTATACATATATACATAACATATATTATTAATATTAATATATTATTATAATATATTATGTTATATATTATATAACACATATTATATGTTATATAATATATAATAATAATAATATTATTATCTATTATATTATGTATGTAATATATGTATTAGTAATACTAGTAATAGTTATATATGACAGGTAGTAGAAAGCAAAACCAGGAGGCAAGTTTATAGCATTCATCATATTTATAAGAAACTAAGACTGATTAAATCATCTAAGCTTTTAACTAAAAGCTCGGAAAACAATTGGCAGGCGTAGATACTGACACAAAAACAAAAACAAAAACAAAAACAGAACTCAATTACTAGAATCCAAAAGATTTTTTTAACCTTTAAAAAGATCACTGAGGAAACCTTAAGTAAACCCTGCCCCTTTAGTTTTCTGATAGGGCTCACTGTGCATTTGAGGCTGGCCATGAACTCTCTCTGTACCTTGGGCTGGCCTTGAATCTGTGATCTGCCTGCTTCGGCCTATACACTGTACATTCAGTCCAAGAGACAAGAACAATCAGTGACCACAGAAGGATGTGAAAAGATATACAAACTATTTTCAGAGTGTAAACAAAAAGAGAAAATACCCAACTCATTTGATCAAAACTAGGAAAACATAAATAAAAATGTAAAGTAAAAGAAGTGTGACTTGAAAAACAAAACAATCTGCCTCATTTCTCTACGTATCTACATTGTCTCACATATGTAAAAAAAGGAGGGACAGCCGGCAATGGGTGATCACCACCTTCAAGGAGCAGGTTGGGCTGGGAAGGGTGGGCTAGGCGGTGTCTGGTCACTCACCTGCATTATTATTTGAAATTATTTAATATTAAGAACATGCTGATTTGGGGAGTGCTGTGTGGAGAGAGAGCTTGGTAGCACCGTGTTGTGCTGCAAGTAAAAGGACACTATGTGATAGCCAGAAACCTGCGAAAGCTGGGGCTGCTAGTGCATGCTTGCAATCCCAGCACCGGGGAGGTGGGGATAAGCAGATCCCTGGGGCTCGCCGGCCAGTTAGCCTCCAGCCCAGTCTACGTGGGAGTGTCAGGCCTGTGTGACCCTGCCTCAAAACACCCACAACAACAAAAACCCAACCCAAAGCATAGCAATCCCCAGCCATCCCCCCACCCCGAACAAGGAAGCCAGTGCCTGAGGAATGACACCTGAGGCTGCCCTCTGGTCTGCTCATGAATGTGCCCATAAGTGCACCTACCCCTGGCCCCCACACAAAAGAATGTGTTCATGTGTTTTTAAAAATGAAAACAAGAGCAAATCAAACACACAGACCTCCGAAGTTTAATTCCACAAAGGAGAAACAGTTACCGTTTACTGGGGTGAAAACTATAAAACAATGGTTGCCTGCCCCCCCCACCCCACCCCAAGGCCAACACTATCAGACCGGCTTACTTTTACTTAACCTCTGCCTAGAGGTGAAGCATATCAGTTTTCACTAATGTATTTTTCTCTAAGGCAATCGCTTCCGACTCAAACCTTTCCTCTCCCACCCACTTGAACCTCATCTGTAGGCTCCAAGTGCATGCGTACAATTAGGTTACCATTTCCAGCTACCAGAAGTACTCAGGGGTGCTAGAGAGCTGGCTCACTGGCTAAAAGCACTGGCTGCTCTTCCAGAGGACCAGGGTTGCTTCCCAGCACCCATATGGTGGCCGACAACCGTCTGTAACTCCAGCTATGGGATTTAGTGCCCTCTTCTGGCCTCTATGGGCACTGCATCCATATGCTGCAGCTATGCATGCAAAGATCCACATGCAAAAAAGAAAAACAAATCCTAAACCTCCCATCAACCAAGAGTATTTAGGAAATTCTAATTTGAAAGAAACCTTTCATTGACTTAGATTTCAATCCAAATGTTTTTTTTTTTTTTTAAGATTTATTTATTTATTGTATTTGAGTGCTCTATCTGCGTACACACCTGCATGCCAGAAGAGGGCATCAGATTCCAGTATAGATGCTTGAGAGTCAACATGTGGTTGCTGGGAGTTGAACTCACGACCTCTGAAAGAGCAGACAGTGCTCTTAACTGCTGAGCCATCTCTCCAGCCCCCTCCAAATGTTGTTTATTCTTTGGACCCTTACATCAGAAGAAAGTTTTTTTTGTCTCTTTTTGGAGCCAAATGGCTTAGGCTAGCCCCCCAACTTCTGAGCTGCCATTTCATCATTATTACTGCTCCTACTGTCACTGTTGTTCTACATTTAAAATAGGGCTGGATTCCCGCTGAGGTGAAGGCCATTTCCGCGGCTCCACTCTGTAAGGAAACCGCTTTAAGCAGCAGGACCCAGAGCCCTGCACGCCCACCCTTCTCACTCACCTCCTCAATGAGCCGCAGACATTCTGTCAGAGTGCTGTCAATTTTACTGGACAGCTCCAGCTGGGCTTTCTTTTCTTCTTCTTCTTCTCTTTCAATGCTCTTCCAGAACGAAATGTTCATTTCCTCTATGATTTTTCTCTTTTTTTTCAATTTCATGGGAGGTCGTTTATAGGTTTTCCCTTTAGATTTCTGCCACTCTAACAGCTGTTTCCTGCAACGTGACGGAGGTTGGGGATTAGTTCTCTCCCTCTACCTTCTTAGCATGTCTGCTTCTAAGACAGATGACTGGCAGAGCCTGGGCACAACTAAACCTTCCACTATAGAAAAGGTCAGGAGGGCAGAATGAAGAACAATGTACAAAAGGGCAATGGCCGCGCTGGGTTGACCGTGCCCCTTGGGGCTGGTGGGATTATAGAGGCCTGACTGGTGCTTCAGTTTTGCACT